GGAAAAATTATATGCGTATAAAAGGAGACTCAAACCTTTTGTATTTATAAATTTGCATTCTAGAAAAAGCTGTGAAAGAACTGAGAGTGGGAGAATTTTGAATATATGTATTTCCCTTGCTTCAGTTCTTTTCAAATAATTGACTACTTATGAAAAGCTTGGCCAGAAAAAAGTATTCTCAATAATTTTCCAAATTAGATTTAACCTTCTTTACATGGCCAAGAAACTACAAAATTATATATGAATTCTTGCCGCTTAAAATTCAGGATACATTTTCTCTGAAGCGTTTGCTTAGATTATTAGAGAGTCAATATAAAATAATGTTCTTGTACTAGTGTTGGGAATTAAAAATGTGTTTGAACTGAGTAAGGACTTATGTGAATGTTCTGTGCTAGAATGATGGGGTATTGTGATCCATTTGAGTCTGTGTTTATTCCCAAGAGCGAATAAAATAAATGGCCAGGTTTTATACTTGATGTAATTATTTGTATTTCAGTGGGTATTTCCCCACTGGAAGGCAAAGCAAGTTCTGTGTGATCTTGGCATTAGTGAATTTTAGAGCTAACTACATAAATGTGTAATGCACTGTTTTAATCTTTAACGTTGGAGTTGTTTTTATGCCATTGGTTTCATTCAAGCTCTATCAAAGCTGGGTTACTTGATAGAAAGAGGGACAACTAAATTAAGATATGCTTGCCCAGAGATGTTAAAATGTAAAATGTTTTGAGGAAAACCTCAACGTCAAATGTAGTTTCTTAAGTATAGAAGTTCTTTTCTCATGGTCTTTAAGACTATAGAGATTTCACAGGTACACGAATACCTTTCATATGTGCTCAGTTACCTTAGAGATGTTAAAATTGGGGCACACAAAGAAAAGACCTCAGCAATCAGAGGCTTTAAAGTGAGACCTGAACCATCAGAGGATTTAAAGCTTTAGCTTACAAAATTTTATTTTACAGCAATCACAATCTTCCAATGATGTTTAAGCTGGATGAGTAGGATATTATTGCTGAAGTTATCACTAATAATTCAGAGGAAAGTTTGTGTTATACCCTATTTTAGGACACAATTTTGAAGTATTTATACATTCAAACTGACAGTATGAAAAATATAAGTTTTACCTAGAAGATTTCTAACAGTAGCAAATTGACAGTAGTACGTTATCCTTAATTGACCTAAGGTTATAAATGTATGTTTGAAGAGATACATACGATCATTTTATTTAGGATTTGGACATTTTAAGAGATGCATGCCAGTACCCCCAGAAATCTATCATAGATTTGTTTTACAAGAGTCACAACATACATGCAAATGTGTCTTCCCTGTTGGAGTCTCATTGAATATGTGGAAGGAGAGCTTCATCTCAAAAGGACCATTGAAATGAAAACTAAATGGTATGACAAAGTCCTTCCAGAAAATAAACCCCTTTGGATGGAATCAAAAATGGATCTATGTCATACTTGATTACATACCACAGAAGATCAAGTTATGCTGAAGCTTCATGTTTACTTTAAATAACAAGATGTAATCCTAAAACAATCCCCTTGTATTATATCCATTTTATCCATAGTGTTGATAGTTCTAATTTTCTTCCCATTCAAATTTTGTCAATACAGGAGAAAGTCAAAAGATAAAAGAATGTTACTCTTTAATTCTACTTTTTTTCTTAAATTGAAATTTATTTGTAGTGCAACAGTAACTACTTTTCTTATACTGTATTCTAAACAAATGATTATAAGTAAATGTTGCCAGGATAGGAGAAGCTATCTTTTTGTATTACATCCTCCTCATTAGATTTTTTTTTTCAATCTAAGGAATATGCCTGTGCTGAAAGAATTCTGTGTTTTGAGTTGAGGGAAGCTAAATTTGTTACTTTCTGTGCATTTTCACAAACTTAAGTGGCTATTGGTGGTAGGTGTATTTTTAATGCCTCTTGTTACAACTAGGAATTTCTCACTGATAATTTTAGCTGATTACATCATTTATTCTGTACTGATTTGGTCAAATTTTACTTGTCTTTCTAATGTTCTTTAATGCCTTTTTCATTCATTTAGTCATTTGAGTTTTTGCTCTTTCAATTTTTGTCCAAAGTTAGAAAATTTTTAAAGAGATTATAATTTTAAATTATCACAAAGACCCCTTTGGGTTAAGTAGTTATTTTTATTTTCCCGTGAAGGTTGTACTTTACTAAACTTTATTTTTCCATCGCTTAATGTCTAGTTTTTAAAATATGAATCTCAAAAAGAATGTTTATTATTTAGCTTGGATTAGCTTGTTAAAAAGAGCACAATTAGTAGAGAGAAATATACTGAATATATTGAATATTTACAATGAACTTTACTTGGCACAAGGCATACTGATGAGCCAGATAGTATTTCCATGATAAACCAGTTGAAATATTTTCTGTGACTTACCAGTCAATAAAATAACAACCCAGATGAGTTAAGCAACAGGATTGACTAATTTCTTTTTTCTCTGAAGTAATATTTTTTCAACCAGTTCAATTAATTGAACCAGCATGGCATAATCAAACCTGTTACGTATTTAAGCATATTTAAGAATCTTTTCCCTCTATGTATGTGCTAATTTGGCTAATAACATTAACTGATGACATTGATAGGGACTGTTTGCTAAAATAGAAACCTAGAGAAATAGCAGTTTGAAGGAAATTGAGGGCTAATAATTACATTTCTTGGAAGGGAAAAGACATAGGTACCCTAGGTCATTACCTCACACTTCAGGTGTATCTATTTTAAAATGTGCTTGTAACCATTAACTGCTACTATTTCCTTCCTTCCTTTTTGTTTGGGGAGAAGAAGGGTAGGTACTAACCAGGAAAAATTATCTTTAGTTCTGTAGATGGTAAAAGTAAAGAAGAAAAGTCCTCAAAATAGAATAGTGACTTCACGAGAGAGGGAAGACAATAAAAATTTAAGTTTGATTATGTTTACATGCTTATGTTTTTAGAACTTGATTTTAAGTTCATTTACAGTGTTAGGATATTTAAAAGTAAGAAAGCTATTAGAGCATTTAAAAAGTATACTGAATATTAGTTTTTCTCTCACGGTGTATCTGTTTAAAAGAATTGGAAAATAATATTCTGTTAAATGAATGTTTTCTTTGCTACATTTCTATTATGGTAAAATTTTGGTCAGATTTATTGTTTAGCATCATCTGTATTTAAAACCAAGATGTCCTGACAGAGAGGAAAACAGTTATAAACAGAGTCACATCACAGTGATTGTATGTATGTATTGTTGAATCTGCCATTCAAGGATTTGTTGTAGAGGCATGAAATGCATCCTTAGAAATAAAATAATTATTTATTTCCTTGGGATTTATGGTATTCATCAGTACAGGTGACTCCTATGATTACCTATATAATCTCAGGATTTTCCATTGCCTCAAGTTTTGTTTCTAAAAGACAGGAATAGTTGAACTGGACCCTATGCCAAAATTAGCATAGTAAAACATAATCTTTACTGTGTAATTTTATAATATCTTACAATTCTTCCATTAACATGTAAAACTTCTGACCTTTTTTAAAATATCATATAAGGTGGAATATTGTAAACTCCCAAATTACATTATCATTCCTTTTCCCTTTCTCTCTCTCTTTCTTTAATTTCTACTTCACTACATTAAAATTTAACTGTCATTTTGGTAGGATGTGTGATTTCAAGCTATTAAGGTGAGCTGTGTAACAGGGAAGGTCAAAACCATGAACTGAGTCCTAAATTATGTAGCCTACCCCAGTGACTTACATTGTACTTTCCATTGTATTTATGCTTGGCTTTTTAAACAAATTTTGTTTATCTGTACAAAAGTATTGTCACAATATAAAATAGTTGTAATATGCCACTTTTTGAGTGTCTAGCAATGCATATTAAAACAATAGAACTGTGAGTCTATATAAATATGCTAAGAGAGTTTTCATACTGGCTAAAATGGCAACATCTTGTCATGTGAAGATACAGTTCATTTGTGATCATTATTTTTGTGTTTGTGATTACATTAAAATTTTATTTTTAATATGTTAATTGTATACATAGCTAATCATTAAGATCTGTAAGATAAACATAAAACTTGTGAATTTTAGTTTCACTTCAGGATAATTTCACAAACCACTAGATTATTTTCAAATGCTGTGAAGCTTGGAATTGGGAGTGCTCTTAAGTTAATGCATCCTCATGTACTGCTTAATTCCGTATGTATATTACCTTAACTTCTTAACTTTAAGAAAATAACCTCCTATTTAATACTTAAATACAGGCCTGAAAATGAGATCTATATATGCAACTAAAGATTATTTTAAATGATAGATAAATGTGTGTGCCTATGAATGGTGAAATGATTGTGTTACATAATTACCATACTTTTGATGATATACCATAAACTGGCTTTGAGAAGACAGCTATACTTATTTTGACAGAAAAAAAGTACATTTTTCTAGCAAATACTCTCGTATTGGCCTTTCATACTCCCACTTTTGTAACCTTTTCTGAGCATCTGTAACATTTTACTAACCTAGAAATATGGTTTATCTTTTTTGGGAGAAGATCTGAAATAGCTTTCTCATACATCAATCAAGATGTGAGTGAGCTAATTCTTTTCAGAGTTACTCATCATTATTGTTCTTTTAAAGGTGGAATTCTGACAAAATTAATTTAATTTAAATAAGTTTCTAACTGTGAGATAAGTCTTCCCATTTTGAAACACTGCATGGTATTTTTGCTTTATAAATAGTATTTCAGTGGTTGTACCATAGATTAAGGTGAGTTGGGAGTGAAGTGGAAACCTTTACCATACTATTTGTTTTTGGAGATTGAAAGGAATATCCATGTACTAAATAACATGTTTCTTGATTTCAGCCAAGTTCAAAAACTTTGCAGAAATAGATAATTTTAAAATGATAACTATGTGTCATTGTTGTTGTTGTTGTTGTTGTTGTTTTGTGTGTTGTTTGTGTGCGTATGTATTTTCTTTTTCATTTTAACTAGCCTCTTATACCTAGAAGTCCCACAAGCAGCGTTGCCACGCCTTCCAGCACCATCAGTACACCCACCAAAAGAGACAGTTCTGCCCTCCAGGATCTCTACATTCCCCCTCCTCCTGCAGAACCATATATTCCCAGGTATAAAACTATCACGTTGTCCTAGGCAGCTTCTAGCTAAAGGTAAACTTAACAGCATATAAACTGCAAAGTCAATTCTCAAGGAACACCTTGAATATTTTCTCACAGTTAGGAATTCTGAACACATTCTGCAAAATCATTCCCATTATAGAGAATGCATGTTAGTTAATAGTAATAATGACTAATTTGTATATAAATACTTGCTGTGTATTAAGTATTTTATACTATCTCATAATAGGAAAGAAGAAGAAAGTAATATTAAATAACGATTAGGATTTTTTTAATAAGTAAAGAATAAGTGAGGTTCTTTGGCTAAAAAGCCCCAGAAATTTTCTGGTTACTTTGAAGCATTTCATACATTTAAAAAAAAAAAAAATGCTATAGATGACTTTTATGCTTTCTTAAATGTAAGTACTGAGGAAGATATTATTTGATAATGATTATGAGGGAGATTGTCTTTTTTCCCCTAATAATCCTGTATCTGAAATTTTTATTTCATTAATTCATTAATGTTTCTTTCAGGAAGTAGAGTTTACAAGGGAATGAATTACTCTTAAAGTCTATTTTCTAGATTTCTTGAGGCTGTATCTCTATTTCATTTATTGATTCTTATCTGAAATTCCTTGCAGATGTAGAAGAATACAGCTTTATGTCATAATGCATTCTTCCTAAAAGCATTCTAATATCCAGCCTTGTGAAATAAAAAATTGTGGAAAAGGACTAGCACTAAATGGGGATCATTAATACCAATCACAAAAAACTTGATTCAATTTTTAAGTTAGTTCTGCATTCAAAAACAATAATTTAAGGTCTCTTGTTTTCAAGCTATAATTAGTATTAAATTTCTTTCATATATAAAAGAACTGAATTCCCTGTGTTTAATTTCCATTATTCTTTAGTACACTTAGTGTTTCAGAAATCTATATTCTATTAGACATGATGGTTTACTGACATTATATGATCTAAATGCTGCATGGCAATATGGTTTATCTGCAAATACCATGTTGTCATCTAGTAATATAACTATAGTCAGTTTTATATATATTTTAGTTCTTTGAGAATTAAATATAGCCATTGGAACATGACTTATAAGATATAGTTTACTAAGCTGACATTTCATAAATCTAATATATAATTTACAATCTTTTGTTCAATTTACAAGCAAATATACAAATCCATCCAGTATCCTAGTAAAATGCAAGTTGCATTTTAATTCTATTAAGACAGTGTCAGATTTTCCACATACTCTTGCATGAGGAGCAGTGAAAGTATGTGTGTTCCAAACAGGAAGTGACTTTTTATGATTTGTTTACATTTTAATTGGAAAGATTTTTATTTCAGTGCAAATAATTATTTAAAAGGCCTCATTCTTCAGAGGTCTACATATACAGATAAACATCAAAAGATTATTTTTATCAAATCTCTGTAGTTTTAAAATGTTCTTTCCTCTTCGGTGGTGAGGAGCTTGTTACAAAGAAAGTGTCTCCTCTACAAAAAATATTTAAAATACACTTAAGAGGACAAAAGAGTAAAATGATCCAGTTCTGTCTTCTGAGTGTGATGGACATATTATAAAGGCTCTATATTGAAGCCAATAAAAAGCCTGAAAATGCCCTTTTAAAATATTAGAGAATGTGAAATTGAAATATCAACATAGTGACCCTTGCTTTGTCAGTATTGCTTGAAAGCTCCATACTTTTCTGTAAAATTCATAGTGTTTACTGTATCGCCATAAGTGATTCTTAGTTGGTCAGTGTATAATTTAACAGAATATTCTAAATACATTTTGAGTCAAATTGTTACTTAACCAGTTATAAAATCTTTCAATATAGGAGTCAGAACAATCCATGCATCAAAGCCCCTTTGAACCACAGCCTTACATAAGTGTCTGCATTTTCTGGCTTGATGTTAAGTTGACAGTCAAAACTTTTTGCATTTGTGATTATTTTTATAGATACAGCCTTGGCAATTTTTTCCCCATTTTCTCATTTTGAAGATGAATGTTGCGAACCTAGTTTAATTCTTCTGAACGTTTTCCCCCATATTAAAAAACTTTGTTTATAAAGGATAGGCATTTTGGTGGTATGTGAACATATATGTTTGATTTGGATTGCAAATAATAAAACCTCTCTCGTCTCAAAAAGAAAACAGAGTTGAAAAATGATAGGACTAGTTTTCAAGTTAGACAGAATATTTTTCATGTGGTTACAATTTTTTGAACACATTTATTCCAGAAAAAAAGTTATTGCAAAAGTGCCTTTCTCTCTAAAAGATAAAACACTCGTATGTGAAATGAGTGAAATTTGGCTGGCATTTTATTATATGTCTTATGACTATACACAGTTTCATTATAATTATATATAGTACATTTCTATACTTAACCAAATTTCTTTTTCTATGATGAAAATGAAGAATTTATAGGTATTTGAGCAACTATGACATTTAAGCACTAATTTCTCTTATTAACTCTACTGTGTGCCATTAAATATAAAGTTAGTTCAGCAAAGCAATGCTCTTTTAATTCTTCCTTAAATCCTTTCTAGAGCAAAGGCACAGATTTATTGCTTATGTGCATAAACGTACAACATTAAGAAAGGTGTAAAAACTCTTTACATCAGAATGAATTAACACATTGAATTCTCCAGGGACTCATGACATGAATATGTACATTAACACACACACACACACACACACACATACGCACATTTACATACACAATACATGTATCTACTCATTCTACTGAAAAGTTTGGTTTTGCTTGGTACTTTTCTCAATTCAACAGTATTTTACTGCATTCTATATAGATTTGTTTTAAAAATCTACCCTGTTGATATAAGGTCCCTCCCTCATGTTATTATACAGTAGGAAATACCATCCCTTTCAATTTCCTGCCACAAGATGTTTCCATATAAATATAGCATGGTGTATTAATAGGGCTAAATCACCCTCTGATTTCAGCTGCATTAACATTCATGTCACAAGCCTCATAGCGCGAGGTCTGTTCATTTACAGATAGGCATAACCTTACTCCAGTGCCACAAATTCGTTAGGGCTGCTTCCAAGCTAGTTGCAGCGTCAATTTCTTTTTGATAGTGGACTAACCAGGCAATTTGTTCAGGAGAAGTTTTCAGCAAGCCGAAATAAAATTCTGCCTGGATTTTATATTTATTTCCTTCATGTTGCCTAAGAACTATTTATATAGTTCTATTTTGGTAATAAGCAATACTTTTATTTTAGAAAATAAAAGAGTAAATGGTAATGTAAATGGCAACAACACCTTGTGATGGGTTAAACAGATAAGAAAACTCACTGATTGTCAGTCTGGAGAATGTTGTTTGCTACTTTCTACATATTTCAAATACTGGGAATATAGTTTTCTACATTTGGACAAACCTAATCTAAACATTTACACACAGAAGCAGAAATACAGGCTTTTGCCAGACTGGGGCTCATATTTTAGAATTCACATTACTTTTATAAGCTCATCACCCTTTTAAAGGGTATAATAGGAATTAATTTAAAAATTGTTCTTTTTATCTGTCTTGTTATAATTTAGTTTATTCTATGAATTTAAGATTTTAGTCTTATCACTTAACATAAAATTAAATTTTTTTCTTGTTTGACAGCATTTATTCATGGCACTGTTTAGGGTAACCAGAAACAATTAAGAAAAGGGAAGAAATTTAACTAATGGTCCACAAGGGGGGAAACATTGCATTTACATTCATAGTCATGTTCTAGAAGACAAGCTTTTCTGACAAAAAGTTCATAGGTACTCAGTGAAACATTTCATAAAATAAACAAGATTCAATTTAACAAATAGCAAATGAACTATTTCTATCAAAATAGTTTTGGGGTTTAATTTACCTATTACACTGTGTGAGTAATAGGTTTTAGGGAGCTCATAAATTATTAGAGATGTTTTTCTCTAGAATCCTATAGAAGAAAAAAAATCAACTTGCCATCACCCTAAATTCCATTCTTAAACTCCGCATTTTATCAAATTATTTTACCTTCTCTCCTCAAGAAACATTGATGTATAATGAAATTTTGATATATTCATTTAGAATGAGTTCTAGGAATATGTCTTTTTACTCTTAAATGAGATCTGTAGAGTTTGAATACTGAGAATAATACTTTTTATTAAGGTTTATTTAAAATTAATTACATGTTATGTGAATTTCTTATAATACAAGTTTATATCATGCTAATTTGGTTCCTAAGGCTACAGTGCTCCTTATGATAGTTCTTAAACACATCTTTATTTTTAAGCAGTGCAAATTTTTACCGAGAATCAATTAGGTAAACTGGCAGAAGAAAACATTATACTTTAGTTAACATTACTACCATTATACCTACTGTCTTGAACACTAAAAACAATTTATGTGCTAAGGTAAACTGGCAGAAGAAAGCATTATACTTAAGTTAACATTATTACCATTATACCTACTGTCTTAAATGCTAAAAGCAATTCATATGCAAAGATAAACTGGCAGAAGAAAGCTATATACTTAAGTTAACTTTACTAGCATTATACCTACTCTCTTGAACTCTAAAAGCAATTTATGTATGACATGGTACGGTGAAAAATGGACTTGGGCAACAGTAAAATGTTTCATGGCCTATTTCAAATTCTGTCAGTTATTAGCTGTGTAACATTGAGGCAAGTTGTTTAGCCTTTCTGAGACTCACCATTTTGTTTTCAGCAAAATAAGAATAATTACAAATTGCCCTATAAATCTCAAAGAAAGTTTGGAAAGGTCAGGAGATATATTGTGTGGGAATAAATTATTAGTATTTTAGACCCTCGGCCATTTACTACCCTAACATGTTTCTACATCCTTCTCCTTGACTCTAACCTTTCTTTAGGGATGAAAAAGGAAACCTTCCTTGTGAAGACCTCAGAGGACATATGGTGGGCAAGCCAGTGCATAAGGGATCTGAATCACCAAATTCATTTCTGGATCAGGAATATCGAAAGAGATTTAATATTGTCGAAGAAGATACTGTCTTATATTGCTATGAATATGAAAAAGGAAGATCAAGTAGTCAAGGAAGACGAGAAAGCACCCCAACTTATGGTAAGAGTTCTTCTTTTATGTTTATGTAAGAATATATTTCTGGCATCGGAATCTCAATTTCCTTTAATAAGTTTTCGGGTTGTGAAAGTTACTTAGGAGCTTTTGAATCTTTATAATTGATCTGTCTCTCTCATGTGCTTCTAAGTGGAATTTCTACATGATATGAGACATGATATTAAACATTATTCTAGATTTTCAAAAGATAAGAAAGAACAGTAGATAACATTTTAGTTCATAATGATTTATAAAAATCTTTTTAGCATCACATGTACTTCTTGTGTGTTAGATGTTGCCAGTTTGGAAAAATTCAACTGTTTTTTTTTTTTCTTTTCTGTTTTTTAAATGAATACTTACTGTTAACATGACTTATTTAAAATAAAATTATCTCCATTTCCTCAGGGATTTTAAGAAATATAATTTTCTAGGGAAATTCTCACCTCAGTTTTTGTATTTTTTAAAGAATCTGTAAAATTTATTTGACATTAGAGTGGAAGTGGATTTTAAATAGAATGGATTGAACATACTGTATTCAAGGCAAAAATGGACCTAGAGTTATGATGGGCACAGGATTGTTTTAATCTTTGATTCTTGACCAAAAAAGTAACCCAGTCACAAATACTTAAAATTGTTATAGTATATCTGAAAGATTTGCAGATACAGTTGCTTAAAGTAGTAAAGCTTGTGGTTCTTTTGCAAGAATGAATGGATTTAGTTGAAAGTCTCTGCTCCTCCCTTTCCACTTTTCAAATTAATCATTTTTAGAGAGGAGCTTATACTTTGAGGAAGGACAGCATCCTTGCTAATTAGTTCAAACTTGATCAATGGGAGCTGAGCAGAAGCAAAGTTGTTTTTAGCTCTTCCTTTCTATTCATACCCCTCACTTGTCTGTCATGGCCATATACCTCCCTCCTTTGGTCTCAAAAGAGCAGTCATCACATGTCTTCATATACATGTCTTATTTCCTTTCAGCAATTTGGTAATAAGTATGAAAGAAAAATTTTCCCCAAAATGATCCTAAATAGTAGAAGCCATACTTATCTTACTTTGTGTTATTCTCTGTACATGTGCTTTTTAATCATAAGAATAAATAATATATTTTAACATAAACTCCTCAACTATACTACTCTAGTGGCAATTAAACTGCTAAGTATTGAAGATATTTGAACCTTTACTTTTCTCCTCTACTATATTGTAAACCTATAATATAGAGTATAGAGGCCTGTAATCTTTACTATCCCTACCTTTGCCCCATGAAATAATATGAAATTTTTATTCTTATTCATTCATTCCACACATACTAGTTGACTGCCTATTACTGGATAGGCAGTAATGTATTTCAACTCTTCTTTGTTTGTGTCCCAGTATTATCTGGCTATTTTCTACTTATGTTGAAGTAAGTAATTAGTGTTTAATTTAAGAGAAATTATAGTCACCAAATGAAAGTGATTGATTACTGATGACTTTATTTTAAAAAATGTTTACTAAGTTCTTACTTGAATGGCTATAAATTGGTTGTCCCTTCAGACTACAGTTTAAAGCACCTAATGCCATCATGTGCCACAAATGTCCCCTGAATAAACTAGAATACTTTTTAAATATTAGAAAATTTAGATAGCCTATAAATACTTGATATCTTTTTGTAAACAACTTAGGAGAAAAGAAATATATACTACTTAAAAGAGAGAAGTAAGCAGAGTTATTTGTTTCCTTCAGTATTGCTTTCAACTTTTAAAAATTGACACATAATAATTGTACATATTTATGGGATACAGAGTGATATTTTAATACATGTATACAGTGGGTAATGATTGAATCAGAGTAATTAGCATATTCTTCACTTTAAACATTTATCACTTCTTTGTTCTGGGAACATTCGAAATCTTCTCTTCTAGCTATTAGAAATTATGTAATAAATTATTGTTAACTATAGCCATCCTATAGCACTATAGAATACCAGAACTTACTTCTCTCATGTAGCTGTAATTTTATATCCATTAACCAGTCTCTTCAAAATCCCTCTCTCACTCACCCCTCCCCTTCTCAGTCTCCAGTAACCACAGTTCTACTCTCTATGAGCTCAAAGTTTTTAGTTCCCACTTGTGAATGCAAACATGCAGTATTTATCTTTCTGGGCCTGACGTATTTTACTTAATATAATGTCTTCCAGGTTCATTCATGTCGCAGCAAATGACAAGATTTCATTCTTTTTTAGAGCTGAATAATATTCATATATATATATATATATATATCATGTTTTCTTTATCCATTAATCTGTTGATAGACATATAGGTTAATTTTCATATCTTATCTACTGTGAATAATGCTGCAATAAACATAGGAGTACAGATATCTCTTTGACATACTGATTTCCTTTCCTTTGGACATATACCCAGTAATGTGAATGCTGAATCCTATGGTAGTCCTGTTTTTAGTTTTTTAAAGACTCTCCATACTAATTACTATAGTGATGGTACCAATTTACATTCTCATCAATATTGTATAAGAGCTCCTTTTTCTCCGAATCATTGCCAGCATTTCTTAATTTTTGTCTTTTTGATAATAACCATTCTAACTGGGGTGAGATGATATCTCTTTGTGGTTTTAGTTTGCATTTCCCTAATGATAAATGACATTAAGCATTTTTATATACCACTTGGTCATTTGTGTGTCTGCTTTCATGAAATGTCTATTCAGATCATTTGCCCATTTTTAAATAAAAATATTTCTTTTATTGCTGTTGAATGGTTTGAGTTCCTTGCATATTCTGGATATCAGTTCCCTGTCAGATGAATTGTTTCCTTTGCTCTACATAAGATTTTTAGTTTGATATAATCCCGTCTGTGTGTTTTTTTCTTTTGTTGCTTGTAAGCCTTAGCCATAAAAATATTTGCCTAGTCCAATGTCCTGAAGTATTTCCCCTGTGTTTTCTTCTAGTAGTTTTATGGTTTGGGGTCTTATATTTAAGCGTTTAATCCATTTTGAGTTGATTTTGTACATGGTGAGAGATAGGGTTCTAGTTTCATTTTTCTGAGTATGGATATCCAGTTTTCCCAGCCCTATTTATTGAAGAGGCTATCCTTTCCCCAGTGTGTATTCTTGTTGCCTTTGTCAAAAATCACTTGACTTATTTCTGAATTCCCCATTCAAATAATTCTCCAATCAAATAATTGGGCTATGTGTCTGTTTTTATACCAGTACAATGCTGATTTGGTTATTACAGTTTTGTAGTATAATTTGAAGTCAGTCAGTGTGATGCCTTCAGCTTTGTTCTTTTGGTTCACAAATGCTTTGGCTATTTGGGGTATTTTATGGTTCCATACAAATTTTGGATTTTTTTTTTCTATTTTTGTGAAGCATGTCGTGGGTATTTTGACAGGGATTCCACTGAATCTGTAGATTGCTTTGGGTAGTATAGTCATTTTGACAATATTAATTTTTCTTATCTATGAAAATGTGATATCTTTCCATTTTTTGTGTTCTCTTCAGTTTCTTTCCTCAGTGTTTTGTAGTTTTCATTGTAGAGATCTTTCACTTCCTTGGTTAACTTTCTTTCTTAGTATTTTTGTAGCTATTATAAAGGGGATTGCATTCTTGATTTTTTTCAGATAGTTTGTTATTGGCATGTAGAAACACTACTGATTTTTGTATGTTGATTTTGTATACCGCAACTTCTGAAGTTGTTAATCAGTTCTAAGAGTTTTGTTGTGGAGTCTTTAGGTTTTTCTATATATAAGAACATGTTGTCTGCAAACAGGAACAATTTGACTTTCTCGTTTTCAATTTGAATGCCCTTTATTTCTTTATCTTATCTAATTTCTCTGGCTAGCACTTCTAGTGTGTTAAATAGGAGTTGTGAAAATGCTCATCCTTGTCTTGTTCCAGTTTTTAGAGAAAAAGCTTTCCACTTTTCTCCATTCAATATAATGCTAGCTGTGGGTTTGTCATATCTGGCCTCTATTGTGTTGAGGTGTATTGCTTTCTATACCTACTTTGTTGAGAGTTTTTATCATGAAGGGATGTTGAATTTTATTAAGTGGCTTTTTTTGTGTATCTATTGAGATGTTTATATGGTTTTTGTCTTCATTCTGTTGATGTATCACACTTATTGATTTGCATATGTTGAACCATCCTTGCATCTCTGGGATAAATCTCTTTTGATAATGGTATACAATGTTTTTCATGTATTGTTAGATTTCATTTTCTGAGAAGTTTTGCATCCATGTTCATGAGGGATATTTTTTGGTCTGTAGTTTCTTCTTTAGTTTTGTTCTTGTTGGATTTTAGTAGTACCCGTACTGCTGGCCTCATAGAGTGAGTTTGGAAGAATTTCCTCCTGTACTATTTTTTCAGATAGTTTGAGAATAATTGGTATAAGTTATTCTTTAAAAGTTTGGTAGAATTCAGCAATGAAGCCAACAATGAAGTCATCTGGTCCCAGACTTTTCTGTGTTGGGATCATTTTTATTACTGATTCAATCTCATTACTAGATAGTGATCTGTTCAGTTTTTTTTTTTATTTCTCCTTGAGTCAATCTTGATACATTATATGAGTCCAGGAATTTATCCATTTTCTCTAGGTTTTCTAATTTGTCGGCTTATAGTTGTTCAGAATAGTCTCTTATATTCCTTTCCATTATTGTGGTATCAGCTGCGAAGTTTCCTTTTTATGTCTGACTTTATTTGGGTAATCTCTGTTCTTAGTCTAGCCAATAGTTTGTTTATCCTTCAGAAGACCAACTTCTCATTTTGTTTGTCTTCTGTAGGTTGTTTTTTTTTCTTTTTTTGTCCCTTTCATTTAGTTATTCTCTGATCTTTATTATTTCTTTTCTTTCACTAATTTTGAGTTTATTTTTGCTTTTCCAATTTCTTTTTTTCCTAATTTTTTGAAGTGCAATGTTAGATTGTTTATTTGAAATCTTTCTGCTTTTTTGATGTAGGCATTTCTTGCTATAAACTTCTTTCTTAGTATTGCTTTTGCTGTATCCCATATGTTTTTGTAT